GCACGCTCCCGAACACCCCAAGCTCCTCTGGCAAATGCAGCCCTCTCCCATGTTGCTCCCCCTGACCAGACCCCAAAAACGCTTCTTTCAGCCCCTTTTCTCTGACCGTTGCTCTCGGACCCGCCGAGCTTCGCCCCCAAGCACGGAGCCGTCCCGCTGCCCGCGAGGCCTTTCCAAGGCTCCGGCGCACACGCAAGAGGTCCTCGGCTCAAAACCGGGCTGACACAGCCTCACCTTTTTTCCAGAAAACTCAAAAAACCCCAGCCCGCTCCCTTCTGCCGCCCCATCCAGAGACAACTCGGTTGGGCCCCGATGGGGCGTTTCACCTCGTTTGCTTTTGGCTTGGGCTCCTCCACGGCCAGCCCCAAGGGGAAGGAAAGAGGTTGGTTCTGTTGCTGAGCCGCAAGGCATTTTTGGCAAGAATGAAAGCATTTGTAGGCGTATTACATATATTTAAAGGTCAATAGGTGTGCGTCGTGGTGTGGAAAATGAAGGTTTTGACGGCGGGGACGGCTCTTCTCGTCTTTTGATTTCCAGCCCTGCTGCTCTGCGTGTAGAAGCAATGCTTTGCTGAAGGGCGTGAACGAGCGAAAACTGGAGATGTTTTAAAACCAGCCCAAAAAGCCTCAAAAGAGGTGTTTCTGCCTGGTTTCGAACCAGGGACCTTTCGCGTGTTAGGCGAACGTGATAACCACTACACTACAGAAACGCGGTGCGACATGCTGGGGGTGACCCACTCGTGACAGGATGGACCAGGTCTCTACCTCTGCCTTCTCCCGCCTCCTTTTCTACCGAAATTCCCCTCATATTTGCTGTTAGCATCAGAAAATGGACATTTTTTGAGTCATCCGCACTCGAGGGTATGAAGAAAAAGAGGTTTTATTTGGGACGTGGCCCAACAGCGACGCGCAGAGAAGTCTCGCGCCCCCCCCGAGGACGAAAAATAAAGATTTTTAAAGAATTTACTTTTTTTCTCCAGGAACTTTCCCTGACCGGGAATCGAACCCGGGCCA